CCCCCCCCCCCCACCCCCTCCCGCACCCCCCAATGCCTTCATCTCAGAAGTGACATACTGACGGAGTTTGAGGACCTGACAGACAGTAGACTATCGTGGCCAGTCCCACGCGGTAAATTTTTGATCCTGGTGGATTTTGCCTTTCACAACCGTTTGCATGTTGTTCTGGGCCGAGTTGTTCAAAGTTGGGTTAAGATAACCCAGGGTTAGTGCGAGATTGGAATTCAGATTTGAAAGCTTAAAAAGCATTTCAGTTTTAATTCTTTTTGTCTACAGGTTGATGATTGGAAGCTCTAAAAATATCAGAGAAAATTATGCAAGAAAGTGCTTTTGAGCACAAGAAAAAGAAACCAGGTTAAGCGCTAATCGGCCTTCGAACAACTGGGCCCCATGGGTCTTTAAGAAAACCCTTCTAAGAAACCCGTAAAAAATCTTGAGAAAGGTAAAATTATGTTTTCAAACCGGAAATAGACAACTGATGAGACTTGATTATTGAATTGTTTTTTATTTGTTAAACCAACGTGTTCCCCTGTCAGAGCTAAAATTACATTATCGATTTTTCTGGGAAACGTGAGATGCTCAAGTCCTTATGGATAGCACACGCACGCCTTTGCAAGATAACCAAAGGATTTGCTATCATTTGAAGTCCGAACAAGACTTCCAGGACGTGGTTTTCCGCAGTGTTTATACCCTGTGATATTTGCAGGTTGATCAAGGAATTCACAACCTAAGCGCACAGTTTGAGCTTCGATAAGTGGGCAAGGTTACCTCGACGTAGCAATGGACATTTCGTATGATCAGCTGAGCTTTTCAAGTTCAAAAAACAACACGAACCAAGTCCTCGATGTATCTCATGAAAACGCCGTTATCCTTGTAACTCTGGCATCGTTTGTGTTTTTCTTGGCCTGCATTATTCTGATTGTGTACTATCAATGGCGTCTCTTCCGTCACATTGTGGAAACACGCATCGGAACTGTGGTATTTTTCCTTGGCGTATTACTGACGGTTATTACAACCCTGAGTTCTTACACAGAGCAAACAGTTTACGCCGTATATCGCCTGATACTCCTGTCCTTTTGTGGAATGTTGGTATTGGTCGTTGGCTGTGCGGTGTTATTCGAGAATGCCTCCCCCGAGAGGCCGTTAGATGACTATGGATACGAACGACTTCCGGTTGGGTATATGCATGGCAGCATGGGCATAATCATCTGGGTCATCACTCTTCCCCTGAGTATCCTGGAGCTCTTGTTTGCCATTGGAGCAGCAAAGCAAGCACCAAACGATACTTACGCAGCTGTCATGTACACAGCACTAGTGCAGAAAATTGTCCAAGCGAGTGTGTACCATTTTAGTTTGCGACATAAAGTTGCCAGAGCCGACTTGCGCATGGCATGCTCATGGCTCCTCAAGATCATCTCTTTCTTTAACTTTGCCTTCTGGATTGATTCAATCACAACATCTCGCACCGACAATGAATGGGTGGTGGGTCTATTCGGTAAGGGATTCTCTATTGTAAAAGCTGCGTACAATGCTTTGCTAATTGATTACAGACTTCTGTGCTGCTTACTTTTTCTAGAACATTCTCTAGAATTAACAGAAGTGCGCACTAATCGGCGAATTGATGAAATATTTGATCCAGATGCTAATGAAGCCCTGATGCAGGATTCTTTTGCTTCAGTGAATGTGGAGATTTCTCATTCTTCTGGTTATGGCTACGTCGTTGGTCTCATCTTAATAGCTACCCAACTTGTTGCTGGTCTTCAATACGTAGACTTTGTAGGTAAATGGGCAAACATATTCCCAATTCTAGCCAACAGTGTTGTGATATTATTTGGCTTCTTACTTCTCTACGGCACTGCCAGCATTGTAACAGGTAATGGTGTCTTTAATAATCGCAACAGCAAGTGGCGTGAAACTGAATCCAAAGCTATTGATGTGATGGTATGTTTCATGGGCACCATTGGTTTTGTTTACTGGTTCATAAAAGCATCATATTGTGGACTGTGGGCTTCCAAGTACTCATCAACTGACACTGACTTTCACCAATATCTGACATGGACAACTCTAAAGAACTTTGTTTATGCCATTACAATCCTGTTCCAACTAAACTTCTTTGTCAAAATGGGCCCAAACTTTGGGTGTGATGAAGAAAGCAGTCGTCAAAAAACAAAGCATTTTTACGTGACCACAATAATGATGGCTTTGTTTTCGCTTCTAATTTCATTTGTTGTGGATGAATACAGTGGTCGCGTTGAAAAGCTTTTGGACCAAGCTCACATCAGCAAGACCATGTCTGCATTTCTCCAAGCTGCAGCGCCAATCCATCTGGGCTTTAGCTTGCATATGTTTCTGCACTTTTTCATCATGAATAGACGGCTGTCACAGTTTCAGTACAGAAGGAAAAACAAGCAATTGCAAAATTCTCACGAGCCTCGACAACCCTCAACCGGGAACACTGAACACAATGAAGAAACAAGGGGAGAAAGGCAACCATTAATTTCCCAACATTTGCCAACAATAACACAGGCTTAACTGATCAACAGTCTAGTCATGTGGCGAATGTGCGATGTTTCTCATTTTACAGTAAGAAAACCACACATTCTGGCACATGCAGCCCAGACTCTATGGACGCAGTTATACATGTACAGTACAACTCAAAGTGTTTAACATACCAAATTAATGGCTTCAGAAGTGAACATGTACAGTAAACACACAACACAAACATTAGGTAAGTCATTTTTATTTTGAATATTTTCAAAATGCAGAATTGTGGGAATATTTGTTTACTGTGCCTTTTCTTATAGAAAGTCAAATTTCAGAAACTTCCATATGGTCTGGGCTGCCTGTGATAACAGTATTGTCTCTTTTATCGGTTGATGCATGTGCAAATTCTTAAGTCGAAGCCCAGGTAAAGAAGCAGCATTAGATGCCTCTAGCATGAATCCATAAAAGATAACTTGACCTTTCAGTCCTGCCAGGTCCATCTTACCCCCAAAGATTCCATTAATGAATCGATTGTTAGGATAATGAATCTATTAGTCATGGCCGCAGCCGGTATCAAATTCTGCAGAACTGCATTCCTGCATGTGTAATGAGCAGTGAATATTTTTATGTTAACTTCTCTGTATTTGGTGACTTTAGTCAGATTGGAAAATCTTTGAAGACATTAGATTAAATTCAAGAAAACTGAGTTGGTAGAAATTTCGTAACTACCTCACCTTTGAATTCACTAGTCATTATGCATGCCAGAATACAGAGGTGAATCTGAAATCTACAACTACCAGTGAATTCAACTGTCAAATAATAAATTCATTAACTCTGACATAAATTCATTACCCTTGACTGGACTTAGCTGTCTGCTATGATTATAATATTTAAATTAGTTGAAAATGAAACTTTCAAGACATCAGAGTTTGGGCGTGCCATATATTCACCAAATTTAGGTCATGGTTAGTTTTATTTGGACTGCAAAATGCAGATATGGAAGTGAGACATAGTTACAGTACCATGTTTTGTTAACCTGTTACCATTAGCCTATTATCTTTTAAAGTATTATGTAAAATGAAATGGTCATAAGTTCCAGTTAAGGGGTGTGTGGAAAGAAAAACCGAAGTGGCTTTTGATAAACTGCTGCATGTGTATGTGTCATTTTTTTAAAATGACTGCAGCTAATAAATTTCCAAATATACCAGTGGTTAAGCACATTGAATGATAATTTTTTTGTGTTTCTTTATAAAGTTATTAAAAAGATTTCAGACGGTAAAATATATAATAAACATTTTGATATTTGCACAGACCTTTCCTGCATTCCTCTCTAGATTTAGTGAGCATATAGGGTTAAACGATCGAGGTCGCAGCTTGAGACTGGGGTGGGTACGGTCTATAATATGTTGCAGGGCCCCATTTAAACCAGCCTCACTGAACTGGACGCTCCTGACTAAATATTGTTTAAAATAAAATAATATAATATTGATCTATACCAGAAGATTTAAAAAAATTTGTCTAAGCAGATATTTATTTTATGGCTACAATAGGAGACATAGTATGT